CGTGACCTCAGTACCCGGCCGGTGGCTGTCGGCCCTTTGAAGGTCGTGTTTTTGCCCCGTTCTGCCTGCCTTTGCTGGCACGTGGGCTTCCTTTGTTCTCTTGCCCTCAGGATGGCCCGATTGATGACTCGCGGGCTGGGCCGTCCTAACAAATGGCAACAAATGCGCATCATGAAATAGGCAAACTGAGAGCCTACAGACAGGTGGAAAATAGGAAATGCAAGTTCACTGGTTAAGAAGGTTGGATAAGGTAGCACAGTCTGCGGCAGGCAAGCTTAACCCTAAAACTAACCATTAACCTAACCTCAGCCCCAGCATTTTATGACTCTAACCTTAACCTTAACCTATCCCCCGAGTATTTTCAAGCTTAACAAGAAACGTTTCCTTATATAAAATGCATACCTAAATCAACTGAGTAGGCATGTAAAGGTAACAATAGTACACAGCGGCAACGTAAAGTAAAAGTTTCTGGCTGTCCTTGTAAATCAATATAAAAAGCATTTGGCCTGGTGATACTAGAATTTCACGTTCTATGTCTAGAAACAGAAGGGTCTAGATGAAAGAGTGACCTTCGAGAGCAACTAGACTGTCAATCAATCTTTTGCTTTTTGTGTCCACCGGCAAAACGGTCAATGAATTGTGCTATTGACAATGCTTTCAATTTTCAAACTTTTAGGTTCATCTGCAAGCCAGTTGTATGGGAGCCTCGCTTTTTGTTATAATAAAGCGTGCAGGAAAGATGGAATACGTTATGAATTACGACGATCAGCTGCGAACATTATTCAGAGAAATTACGTGCCTACGCCGGTTCGGTTGCCCAATGACGCCTCTGGCGATCGAACTCGACCGACGTTCCAAGCTCATTAAAACAAGGACAGGAAAACTTCGAGTAAGTTTTGACTTCTGCATGATGATAGTGAAGAGGCAGTATAGTAATCGTTTGAAAAACTAAAGAGGAGTAAATATGAAAGCTGACATAGTCCCAGGTAGTAATAGCTGTCTGATTTGCGTGAGCGTGGCAGTCGTTGCCTGTGATGTCCTTTGTTAGTCAATTTTCAAGGTAATTGGTCAGATCGGGGTTTGCAGACACTGGCGCTTGCACACTTGCTAACAATCGCGAGTGCGCGCACATTCGGAGTTAGGTCACTACAGTTCCGACGTCCATCGATAATGGCGTGTTTGCCGATTAATTTATCTAAATTTCGATTGGTCTAGTGGCGTGTTTCCGTCCCTCGCTGAATTCAAGTCTACAACCATCCCTATGACGTGAACGCAAGACCACCTACGAGACGAATGAGGATGACTCGAAGGACGTCAGAGGACATCCCGATAACAGAAAATTAAATGGATACGGATCAGCTATTGAAGGAACCCTGAAAGAAAACACATTCTATTTTAACCTTCGGTAATCATTAAACCGTACCCCCACGTTTTGGGCCGAATTTCGACCAGTAAACCAAAGTACACTGTAATGGAAGATGAGTGTATAGCAATCTTAAGTGAATAATATCAATCCCCATGCAATATAGTCAGTCGCATGCAATATATGCCCTTTCAAAAAATTCTTCCTTTGTCGTTTTCCTCCAATTGTTTCTATTTTATTATCACAGGACTTATTAAGAATGATGAACAGTACTCTCGAGGAAGTACCCGAAAAAGTAACAAGGATTCTGTCAGTCCGAATACATCGGCTGAATAATGCATTAGCTCCGAGTCTATATCTTTTCGATTGGTACAGTTCTCTTTTCGACAGCTGGATGAAGGTGAGAGCGCACTACTTACTTCTACTTCAGTGTTTATCTTCATAAAGCGTGCTTTTTATTTTCTAAAAACGACGCCTCATCATGTAATTAAATGACGGAGAGGTGCCTCCACTCATATTATCTTTCCCGGGTGTGTTTCAGTTGGAATCACAAAAGGTTTATGCATGCTTCGGAGAGAAAATTAAGCATGTTGTTTCATTTGCAATTAAACGTAGAGTTCTTCGGAAAAAATCCATTTCATTACCCTTCTAACCGCAGGAGCTCCGCATAGTTGTCTTATTAACCAAAAATGTTCCCGTTTTGTAGATTGATACCCTTTCGCTAATCGGCATTGACTCAGATTGTGATACTGATTATCGTGTAGTCTATTCTGCAGTTATTTCAGTCGTGATAGGATGCAGGCTTTTTAACGAGCTTCGTCCTGACCACTAACAAAGCGTATGCACTGTAAAAAGTAACTATGTAAATAGTATGCGTTTTTATCATTGATTTTGACTGTCTTTATAAATTAAAATATATTTTATGAAAAAATGCAGGAAATAATTATTTCTTATACTTGCTTTGTAGCAAATTACGCCTTCTTTAAATTTTATGCTCAAAGAAAGGGTATACTTCGATTTTAGCAAATTTTCTAAATTGTCGAATAATTTTGAAACCTACTGATTGCTACACTCGAATTCAGGGTTCAAAAACTGCGCATTATGTACATCCAGTTTAAGGAAAGGTGCGTTTTCGCCTACAGTTTGAGGAAGAAGTCACATATTTCTCACAAAATGTTGCAATATATGTGGAACATGTTTTATGCAGTATAGGCAGCGTTAATAAATTGACGAACACGATATATTATGGATAAACACCTGAAAGTTGTACAAAAGGTCATAATTAGCGACATTTTTAAAACCTAAAGCTACCCTTACTTTAAGCCTAAAATGTAAAGAAGGCGTTATTTGCTATCAAAGTTTACGTTTCCCTAAAATACATTTGAATTTATAAAGGCAGTCAAAATCAACGATACAAACGCATATTTTTAAAGAAGTTACTTTTTACAGCATATACGTCTTGTTAGTGGTCAGAACGAAGCTCGTTAAAAAAGCCCGCATCCTATCATGACCTAAATAACTTCAGAATAGACTGCCCGATAATCAGTATCACAACTTGAGTCAATGCCGATTTGCGAAAGGGTATCAATCTTTCGCATATGTCGGCATGTTAAACGAATTCTGGCGCATACTGCAGTTCAAACAAGCAAATTGGCGTAAAAAAGAATGTATAATGATAAAATAGGTCAACCTTGTGAAAGGAGAGCAGAAAAATGGCGACTCAAATTCAAAATTCCTGCTGTTTATTTTTCAACACACACACATGGTGAACAGAAGTCACCACTTAATCCTGCGTTTGAACTTCGCTCCTCGAAGTCAACACTGTCAATCTCACATTCGGTCTCCAAAGGAGCGCAAGTAAACATTTTGGTTTCTTGCAGGAAGGGGTGGAGAGGTCTCTGAAACCCCTCAAGCCCACCAATTTACTAAAAGAAGTCATTGTCATTTGGAATTCCATAATTTGCTTTCAACAGAACAATGCCATTTTGTCGTAAATTAGCCTGGAGACCTTCTTCCTGGCTCTAATAACGTAAGGTTTTGATCAAGAAAGGTATAACTAGTGTTTGTACTCAGAGCACTACAATCATCAGGCCCTGTTTTGTTTTGGAAGAGAAGGGGAAAGACAACCAGTAGAAGTAGTGTATGCTGTACAGAAACGCAGTGGAGGCTTAGAGATTCCAACGCGTCTTTCCGCAAGGGGGGGCGGAGGCGCGTGGACGTGAGTAAACATCCGGTGAGAACCAGTCAGTGTCCGCTTGATCAGTTGCTTGGTTGATAACAGGGCAGGAGTTTCCTTGGTAGCGTACATATGC